GTTTTAAGACTATCTTGCCAAATTAAACGAGAATTTTCCACTTTGGTGGAACGCCAATTCCTCTCAAGTTTCCGTGATATTTGCTTTAATTTGTGAGTTTCAGTATTATACCATGGAGCTAACCGTCTTTGTTTTAGTATTTTCTTTTTTAGAGGGGCAACAGAGTCGAGTGTCATTCGCAGCGAGCCTGCAGCACTATCAACAAGATGATCGATTTGGGAGGGACTGAAATTAGCATAGGAGTCCTCCGTTACTTTGTGACTTGATAATGAATTTATAGCTGATGGAATCGCATCCTTAAATTTAGCTACAGCACTATCAGACAGACATCTTGTATAGAAATTTTTGCCCAATGGCGTGTAGTTCAGCAATACAAACTCAAAAGTTATCAAACAGTGGTCAGATAAAGAGGGATTCTGTGGGAACACTATTAAATGTTCAGTTTCAATACCATATACCAGAACAAGGTCGAGGGTGTGGTTAAAACAGTGAGTCGGTTCATGAACACTCAGAGAAGCCGATGGAATCTAACAGAGAGATAAACGCAGTACTAAAGCTGTCATTCTCAACATCCACATGAATATTAAAATCCCCTACAATAATAACTTTGTCAGTTTTAAGGACTAAAGTTGAGAAAAACTCAGATAAGAATTCAGAGTACGGACCAGGTGCTCGGTACACTATAACGAAAAGAACTGGTTGCAGTGATTTCCAACTTGGGTGCGAAAGACCAAGAACAAGGCTTTCAAATGAGTAAATTTATAATTTAGTTTAGATTTAGAGCTGTTTAGTAGGGTAGAGTCGAAGATAGCTGCAACTCCACCTCCTCGGCCTGTGCCTCCAGAGTATTAATATGACTGGGAGGGGTGGATTCATTTAGGCTAACATATTCTCCATCACCCAGCCAGGTTTCAGTAAGACAAAATAAATCAATATCATAATCTGATATTAGTTCATTTACTAGTACACCTTTAGAAGAGAGAGATCTGATGTTTAAGAGTCCACATTTAGTTTTCCTATTGTTTGAAGCTCTGCAGTTTCTCAAGATTGAAACAGAGCTACCGTGTCTAAACACAGAGCACACACACACACACACACACACACACACACACACACCTCCCCCCGCTCGCAATTGCCTTGTAAAAAAAAAAAACACATGATTCGACTATGGGCAGGACTTGAAGATTCTGTTTCGACTATGTAAATCCTTCGGGGACAGCCCTAGAAAAGGCTTTTGTTTTTTGTTTTTCTTGGCTCTGTGTTAGTAGGTCTTATCGAGCTTCAGCTTGTTTTTGCTTGGATTGTTCTTGTGTTTTTTGTTTTTTGTCCAGACAGGATTTCAGATTAAAACCATATCCAAATTATGTGATAAGGTGAATGAGACTTTGCAGCATGATACATTACTCTGAATATTAAGTTTTGTACCTGGAATATCAAGGGCTCCAATAATATTATCAAAAGGAAAGCTGTTCAAAACTATCTTAAAAAGGAAAATGTCCAGGTTGCTTTCCTCCAAGAAACCCATTTGAATGAGGAGGAGCACAAAAAATCTCTCCGGGAATGTTTTACATCTTATTCTACAAGTAAAAGGGGTGCAATTATATTAGTTCATAGATTGCTGCCATTTACAGCTAAAAATAGTTACCAAGATACAGACAGGAAAGATAGTTCTAGTAAAAGGAGAACTATATGGAGAATCAGTATTGTTAGGAAATGTTTATGCTGCTAATGTCTATGACGAGGACTTTTTTGCCTTCCTACTCAGTAAAATTGCTGAAATGGACTGTACAAATATGATAATTGGAGATGATTGCCATCTTTCCCCCTCTCCAGATAGAGACCCCCCTCATAAAGATCAATCAAAATCTGGCAGAGCACTACAAAATTTTCTTCAGACACTGTTAGATTTGGAGATACATGAATCCTAAAAATTACACATTTTATTCTCCACCTCACTTGTCATTCTCACGAATAGACTACATATATAAACACCCAGCCCAGTTGGTTGGCTGGATCTATTGCCCTTTCACTCTAGAAATTAAACCTTTCAGGCCCGAAGAATGATTGTTCTCTTGGAAAATTAACGCATCACTGTTTTGTTAATTTCATAAAATTCTTGGAAACGCAGACAGACCTTTATTTACAGTACAAGTAAATGACTGCAATGACTTATCCGAGATTGGTGTGGGAATCTTATAAAGCTCAGATGGGGTGCTTGAATAGTTAAAGGAGGCAAGACTACTGTTGACTAATTCACTAGCAAAGAATGCTGAGTCTGATATTTTGTTTGCTAGACAAACATTCTTTGAATAAGCTGGCTCGTCTTACAAGAAACTCTTTGCAAAAAACTTTTATTTCTGCAATATCTGATATCAAATCCATGAAACAAACAATAAAAAGATCAATGAATGCTTTCATAAATTTTATTAAATGTTGTATACCTCAGAATTGGACAACTATACACTTACCAGATAAAGCAATCTCCTCACTCCAGTTAGATAAAAGTCCAGGGGCAGATGGATTCTGTGTACAGTTTTATAAAAAGATGAAAAGCAAAATTAAACTATTACAACATGTGTTCAACTAATCTTTTAAAGAGGGTGAACTCACAAAATCTATGTACTTAGCTCATATTATAGTTTAAATAATATAATATTATAAGATCAAGAACTATGTGCTTCTTATCGCCCGATTAGCCTACTTGGAATGGTTGTAAAAATACTCTCAAAAATAGCGGCTAATCGACTGGAAAGAGTAGTGATAGTGACAGATATAGTTAATGCAGACCAAAAAGGGTTTATAAAAGGCCGTACTTCATCAAATAATCCAAGACATTTAATCAATATTATTCACTTGATTTCCTCTTAATTTCCATCAAACTCAAACAATAGTAACAATGGATGCAGAGAAAGCTTTTGATCGTATTGAGCAAAACTACATGCTTGAAGTGTTGAAATGATTTGGCTTTCAATCAGATTTTGTTCAATGGGTACAGCTTTTATACAAAATGCCCACTGCCTCGGTCTCAACAAATGGTCTAATTTCTGCCCAATCTCAGCTTAACAGAGGTACAACTCAAGGGTCACCACTATCCCCTCTACTGTGCTCTTTAGCTATAGAGCCATGAGCAATTGCTATCCGGGGAAACTCCAAAATTTCTACATATCCCAATGGCTGTATAATAAATATACAGCAAGGGCCTCTCCAAACTGCCCAAAATGTAAGACTATTTTATGGACAAGATTTCACTGCATCTGGGAATGCAAAAAGATTCAACGGTTTTGGCAAACTGTATTCCTTTACTGGTTGTCACTAACATAATCTTCCCTATTAATTTGTTGTATAAATGTATTCATTTATTTCAATCCACCTTGTTAAACTAATTAATGTTATGACTGTCTCTGTCACACTATCACACTAATTTCTGACTCAAGTTATTATCTAAAAAACTCTGAAAATGTTATGAGAGTTAAGAGAAAACTATTTGGTCATTTAAAAGTGCAGGATGCCTCCCTGGTAACAGCAGGTTGGGCTTTATGTTCATATAGACAATAGAGATTTGTCAGTTTATAATTCACTGAGCTGGTCAAAGACAAATATTCATAGTTTGTCTAGAAATTGTTTTTTTATTGGATTTCAAGAAAATGTACAATTTTGTATAGACTGATCCTGTGATAATAATATGTTATCCATATTGCCAAGCACACAACAGCTGTTGCAAAATAACTGCTCTGAATCACATCAGAAAAAGTAGCATGTCTACCACAAACACTAAAAATAAAAAACGTAGATGAAATAAACCAATTATTTGTTTCCTATTTGTACATGAAATAACAAAAAAGTAAAAACATACATTAGTTATAACAAGGAAAAGTTAAATGTGTAAGATAAAAGTCCTAAAGGCTTGTGTTAAGATACTCTCCCTGTGTTAAACAAACAATCAACAGTCAAATAAAGATTTAGGAATAAGACAGCGAGTCGGCTATAATGAGCTCAGTTAATTGAAAATTACATCTACTTTGCTTCTGTGATTAAAGGAGAATAATGACAGACATCAATTTACAGCTACAGACTAATAAAACACATTTTATTGGAATTTCTTGAAGCCACCACAGTGAACCAGAGCAAGTTGACCAAAACATTTCCCAGCAGCCACTTCTCCCATAGCAGAGTCCAAACTGTTCTTCCTGTTATCTACAGTTAGGCCCCATGTCCACCAAAGCGTTTTTTTCTGACGCCAACGTGTTTTTTCAATTAATTGCAATGGGAGCACAGAGTTTTTACAAGCTGGTAAAAACGGCAGCAGCATGACGAGGCACTGAGTGTTTTTTTTCCGGTTGCCGAGAGTTGAAAAATGTTCAACTTTGGGAAAGACTTTCCACCCAGCCGTCCAATCACAGTGCAAGAGGGGCGGGACAAATACCACACCGAAACGAAACAATGTGCCTCGCAGGGCCAGAGCAAGTAAGCCTACCGTACTTTGTGGTGACATTTTTACATTCAGTAAAATTACTACTTGCAGCACATGTCTTATTGGAAATCGTATCAGTAGATGATAATAATAATAATCTTTATTTGTAGAGCACTTTTCAAAAACAAGTTACAAAGTGCTTTAACAAGTGTAAAGAAAATACCCAAAAAACAATTATACAAAAACAATACAAGATAAAAGCAAGAAAACATTGAAAAGGCCAAAATACACGTTTAGGATAAATATAAAATAAGTAAAATAAAATAAAAGGGATAAAATAATGTCAAATAAGATCGGGAAAGGCTCTCCTATAAAAGTATGTTTTAAGAAGGAACTTAAGAGTTCAGCCGACCTGATACAGTAGAAGTATCTGTCTCGTCTCTATCCTTTCTATTGGCCTCCATTTCTCCTCCTGTTTCCTCCTCTTTCTCTCTCTCCTTCTTTTTCCTCTACATGAAGCTTCCTGTGGAAATGTTGTCATCATTCATACTGATGGACTGCTGATTTCATTTCTGTCCATTCTGCAGCAACACACAGAAGCCAAAAGCTTGTCTATGGCCCTTTTCCTCATGATGACATACAGGACTAAGTCTGCAAGAGGACTCAACCTAACAAGGATGAAAGACAGGAAGTCGAGGGTCTTGTCATATACAACCAGGTAGAAAATGATGTCAGGCAGGTACAGCAGTGTGTAAATAAGCAGCACCAGAACCAAAATTCCCACAATTCGTCGCTTTTCATCAGAGGGGACCGACATGGAAGCAGACAGGGCTTTGAGGGTCCCAACCAGGAAGAAGATTAACAATGGGAAGGGAGGGAGGAGGAAGACGATAAATATTATGTTTGTGAACACATAACCAGAATACAAATAAAAAATGACAATACAGACAAGAGAAAGGACCCAGACCAGGACACAGACCGCCACAGAGGTCTTGATGGTTAGTCTGAAGCGGTACCACAGTGGGTGTGCGATGACCAAATACCTGTAATACAAGATGGACACAAAGTCTTTGAGGTGCTTCAGAGTTATAAACTAATATAATGTTCAGACACAGAAGGAGCTCCACACATACTGGATAGACAGATACCTTTCCAGGGCGATGCAGACCATGAAGCCAACACTGGCCATCATAGCAAAGTAGTAAATATAAAAGACGATGGTATATATAGTCTCATCCACATTTGGTGCCACCCAAACGATCATGTAGCAGAGCTGAAGGAGGTCAGTAATGAGAAGGTTGATGACGTAGATCGGAGCAACATGATCACTTCTCACCTGCAAGTAAAAGTCAACAAGCAGTTGGAAACATGTTGTGAAGTCCAACTCCTCCCAAATCTGTCATCTTGCTCTGCACAGCAGCTGCAGTCAGAGCCATTTCTGACTTTTTCATCAAACTCTGGCCAATCACTGCAGTAACAAGACTAAGAGCCAGATTTCCTGCAGCTTCTGCAGCAGTTTTTCAGCCACAAATATGAAGCTTTCTGGCTCAAACACATGAGCTGAATTTATCAAACAGACTGGAGTCGCAGTTTGAGGCTCATGTTTGTGTTTGCAAAGTGAGCCTCTCTCCTCATTGTATGTGTATTTCAGGGAGGATCGCACAAGTAATAAGAGGAGACATGTTAACAGAGGTTCATTATGTTTTCACTGGATTTACTGAGGTCACACAATTTTTCAACTGTCAGTTTGCAGAGTAACAATAAAATGACATACTTTACATATAGGATTACATTTAAATATCACATTACAATATATAAAATTAGGAAAATAGCAGGAAAAAAAAACCTAAAAGGAAATAATGAATAGCTGCTATGTTTGTGAAAGACTAGTGTGTTGATGTTGTTTGTGAGTAAGTAATGTAACCGGTAATTACGAAATGATAAAATAAATATATCTCAGGTTTAAAGGAGATAAATTTTATAATAATTTATGTTTAAACAAATAAACAGAATTCGATAAAGAGTTCTGTTTTTTTTCCAGGTCCCACTCATACATTTTGCTACAATCATCTCTTATTTGGGTATTTCCGCTGGTAAATACAGGACTTCCTCCATGTCTGTTATGTTCAGGGTTAAACATTCAGGTTGAATTTTTACTATATTGGAAAATGTTGATTTCTCAGAGCCTGGTATTTGGGCATGATGCAAGAAAGTGTAGCTCTGACTCTTGTCTATCACACTGGCAGTAGAGTCTGCGGTCAGATCATTTGCTAATGAGAAGTCTCTTTTTAGGGTCAGACAACATTTTAATTAACTGTATATTTTCAGGTATTTTGGCATAAATCAAAGTATTGGACAAATTAAAATGCATGACCTGATGATGGCACTAAAAGGGAGTTAAGAGTTAATACAATTTAATCTCTGGGTCAATTAATGTCTGTCTAATATTTTATGGCAATCCATCAAAATATTCCATGGGGACATTTAATAATTGCCTTGATTATTTTTTAATAAATAATTCTGTACAAGTTGCTCTGATAAAGTAAATAAATAACTATCAGTCATAATGTACATACCGTAGAATAAAGAGCATAGATGGCCACGAGGGTCAAAGGAAGGCCGACACCAATGATTATGTATGTCAGCACAATCTTGGTGAATGTTAAGTAGTGGTAATGATGGTAGTTGTAGGTGTGTATTCCCCATTCATAGTAGTAGGTGATGTTGCTGTAATCATAGCTTTGGTCCTGTGAGGTGCTGTTAATATAGAAATCTTCCATTCTTCAGAGTAAAACCTGTTGTTTGAGAGATCAGGTTGTTAAAAAGGGAGCAGGTTTTTCAATATCTACCTAACATTGTTCAGTGACATCACTAAAGCTGTGAGGTGCAACTTCCCACAAATACAGTGTAACTATAGTTTACCCACAATCATATCAAATCAACACTATTGTCATTTCTCAACATTTATTTAATAAAATAAGAAAGGAACAACAAGTTCTAGTGAACACATTGTTACATGCTAATGAGGTCCTTACTGCAGCCACAGAACATGTGGAACAATGATGTTGTGCAGTTGTGGTGAGTAACTTATACCATCTGCTAGGTTACGGTCGCAGTCACACTACCTTGTTTCTTATGACCCACCCTTCTCTGCTTCTGATTGGCTAGTAGTCCTTCTCTGGGAACTGCGCATGTGCAACTCCCAACAAAGATTTTGTACAAGTAAGATGCATCACTCTGTAGCTCAAGTGCGGAGCTGTGTACCAATGGATGTACTCAGGGACGTGCACAGACGTTTTTCATGTTTCATTAATAATTTGTTTATTTTTCACAAGGCAATAAATCATTTAAATTATTTTGGTGTTATTGGAATACATAACACTTCACATAAATCTTCACACTAAACTGTGGCATTGGGCTGCAGGAATAATTAAAATAAATGTTTTTAAATACATCTAGCATGCCAAATAAGTAAAGAACCTTCAGCTTCACACAGCCAAACAATACTGAATTGCCAGAATACATTAATGTATTGATCAAATACTTTATTATTGCCATTATATTACATTTACCATGCACACACACAATTACTGATGGTGACATGGACTTAGTTTCATATTTGAGGGAGGGCTGTCTGTTAGGATCTATCAGCATACAACAAACTAATAGAATTGAGAGTTATTAGATGAGGAGCCTAAAATCAAAACTATGAAGTTACCGTTTAAGGCAGTTTTTTCAATTTTGAGACTTGTCCATTTTGCTTCTGTCAGGATCGCTGGGTGCGCAAAGCAGGGGAGAGCCCAAACGCATGACACTGTGAGCTGAGATTGAGTTCCAGGGTTTATTAATCCCAAGCATGACAACAGGCATGAACAGAACTCACGAGTACTGGTACATCCAAAAGGTAGCGGATAGCAACACAACATCCGAGGGACAGGACAGACATGAGACAATGACCAGACAGGGAATGAACAGAAACACCAGACATTTATACACAAGGACTAACGAGCAGGGCGGGAGCAACACAGGTGACTGGGATCAGGGTTAACGAGGCAGGGGGGAACAGGGAGAAGCAGATGCAAAACACAGAAGTACACAGACCGGGAGTGAACACTTAACACATAAACTAAGTACAGGTGTAAGATACGAGGCAAGACAGATACTAAATAAGATGTGGATGAATAATAAAGGCTAAACAGAGACTAGAGCTGAATGAACAAAATCGGATTACTGAAACTGGCAGAGAACATAAATGACACCTAACCAACTATAACACAGGGATCATAACAGAGAAATGAGAACACAGTACCCAGCAGACTAAACCCAAAAGATGCAGAGAAAGAACTAGAATCAAATACTATGACAAGAACTAACACACAGGACTAGCAACACAGACATGGAACAAAAACCCAGACTCTGCAACAAGACACACAGACAGGACTGAAAAACAGACACGCTCAGGACAGGATCGTGACAGCTTCCATGTCTTCTTTTACTCTAATGGAAATAAAACTTCAAGAATACACTTTTAGATGGTGTTGATTTTAAGCCTAATACCCTCGGTCTGTTTGCATCTGTAGATTTATTCTATATAAACCTAAACAAGCTAATCTGCATATTTACACAGCACAACGGGGCGGGTTGGCTGTTAATCGGAAGGTCGGCGGTTCAATCACTGGCTCCCCCTGGTTGCGTGTCGAAGTGTCCTTGGGCAAGATACTGAACCCCGAATTGCCCCTGGCGGCTGTTCCGCCAGTGTATGAATGTGTGTGACTGGTGAATGCAGATGTAGTGTAAAAGCGCTTTGAGTGGTCGAAAAGACTAGAAAGGCGCTATACAAGTACGGAGCATTTACATTTCAGAGGAAAATACTCTTGATGCAAGTCATTAACTGGGGAAGTTCTGTGGTGATATGCTTTTCTTTATCCCATTCACCAGCAGTGACTTGGCAAATGTATGCAAATTGGCGTATTTTAATTAGTTTATGCCTAATGACCATATCAATGTGGTGATTGTGATGACGTTATTAGACACAAATGTTACGGTGTTCATCTGTAGTGTCTGCATCAGAACATTAGGTTGTATGGCCATGAGAAATTGCCTTTGCCTTAGCTAAACTTCAGCTAACTTGAGTCATGCGTTAGCAAGACACAGGCCGATATTGTCTTTTGTTTAATTAGCGGTAAACTCGAGGCACTGGTAGTTTAGTCTTTTGTTCATCACCACTCACCTCCTCACAAGCCATGATAAACACTGCTGGGAGAGAAGCTGGAGGGGCGGCAGTCTGTCTGTATGCTGCGCTCTGGTTGGGCAGTGAGAAGTCTTTTCTTCCGACCTGATAGCCTATTTAGTTTTTATCGCAATAAATATATTTGTTTGACAGGGAATCTGTTGAAAACAGGAATAAATATACTGTATATCCATCTATCATCAACCGCTTATCCTGCATAAAGGGTCGCGGGGGGGCTGGAGCCAATCCCAGCTGACATCGGCGCAAGGTGGTGTACACCCTGGACAGGTTGCCAGTCCATCTCAGGGCCACACATAGACGAACAACCACTCACGCTCACACCTAAGGACAATTTAGGGTAATTGTCTGCATGTCTTTGGATGGTGGGAGGAAGCCGGAGCACCCGGAAGTCAGAGTATCATCTCTAAGACTTTACCCACATGGCGTTTACTGTGTAAACTCTGAAAAATCGATGTTCTCTTTCTTGGTGGAAAAGTGTTTATTTCTCGTTAGTCTCCCATTACGACTTTTTTTATTTACATATCAGAGAACTCATATGTGGGAGAGATTCTTAAAGTGCAGAAAGTATATGAGCATATAAGTTAGTGTTTCCCATACGTTAATTTATTTGTGGCGGCCTGCCACAATATCAACGCTGACCGCCACATATTGATATTCGATTTTTTTTACTAGGCCTATTTAAAACCGTATTTGAGCTGCAGGCAGTGCGTATTCACGCAGCACATCCTCTCGCTCGTCTCTTTCATCCGTCTCTGAATCTCTCGTTCTCTCTCCCTCGTTAACACAGCTGCACAAATCTGTCCAACACAACGCTGTCAATGTCGGAGATCCAGCTATTAAAAGTTATTAGCAAGCATGTAAGGAGCCTAGCTAATAAGGAGAGCTAAGTTAATGTTAGAATACAGCGGGGTTTTCGAGGCTAGCATGCTGTGTCTGCGCCACAGTTACACTGTCATTCTGTGGGAAACACAGAATTATATAATAGAATACATTATATTCCATTATAATTATATTTTGAATTGTCACCTGCCACCTGAATTTTTAGATATTTCCACCATAAATGGTGCAGAAAAGGTAGAAATTGGAAGAGAAATTTTCACCATAATGCAGGAAAGTGTTTAATGCTCAAAATCTTCTAGGGGAGAACCCCATACCACCCCCACTTATGAAGTGCCCCATCCAAGAAAACAGTATCTGGCTTCACACACAGTTTCTGGGAGGAATATTCACTTATTAGTTAAATAGAATTACTTTTCACATGGTTTTGTTACCTTTTCCATGTATTTAATAACAATAGTAACAATAAATGAAAATCAACAATATTCAGGGCAAATAGCAAACAACTTTTTTTATGGGGGGGGGGTAAGGGACCTGGATAATGGATAGGGGGGCGCTGGCCCAAAAAAGGTTGAGAACCACTGGCCTACATTTAATCAGGCACTGCCATCCCCTATCTGCTACCGTATCGGATTCATTAAATATCAAAATCAATATTTGATGTCTTTTTGTTTTCCGTTAGTCTGTTTTCCTTTTTGGTTTTAAAACCCAAAAAAACTACTTCTTTTTTTGTTTTTTCTGATCTGGTTTTGGGACGAAATAATCAAGAACGAACCATACACGGATTTTGTTACAGTTCATTTATCTGTTCAATAGCTCTACATATCAGAAAATGGTAATGACAAAATTTCCCTTGAAAAGCTGCAAAACTCCATCTGAATGAGTTCCTTACTCCAGTGCCTGATGTTTTGTCCCCTGCATCCAAACAGCCTCCATAAATATACCAAGTCGATAGCATGCAGCCGGTTGATGATAATCTACACCTACTTTTCAAAGGAGCAGCATGAAAATGTAAATGATGCACAAATAGAACAGGGTTGGCGGGCAAAAGCACTATCACACGCCTCAACATTCATTTGACTAAATGTTTAAATATTCTGCTCCACAATTAGCATATTCTCTTGTCTTTAAAAATCTTTACAAATCTGCATGAGAACAATGTTCTGCGGGCATTCTATACTTTTGTGCTTTGCATACAAACCTTCTTTTAAACAATTGAAGGCAGGCATGAACACAGTGTACGTAAAGTATATCACAACAACAGACTGAATCAACAGGAAAGACGAATATATGCTTACTTGATTTAACATCTATACTGGTCATAATTAGAATATCATCAAAAAGTTGATTTATTTCAGTAATTCCATTCAAAAAGTGAAACTTGTATAATGTATACATTCATTCCACACAGACTGATATATTTCAAGTGTTCATTCCTTTTAATTATGATGATTTTAACTGACAACTAATGAAAACCCCAAAATCAGTACCTATATTGTGAAAAGGTTCAATATTGAAGACACCTGGTGCCACACTCTAATCAGCTAATTAACTCAAAACACCTGCAAAGGCCTTTAAATGGTCTCTCAGTCTAGTTCTGTAGGCTACACAATCATGGGGAAGACTGCCGACTTGACAGCTGTCCAAAAGACGACCATTGACACCTTGCACAAGGAGGGCAAGACACAAAAGG